ACACTCCATCTGAGCAACGATCTATCCCTACCACGCTCCTCCTAAGCCCATATAATCAAATCTCAAGATAGATCGCATACACTCCATCTGAGCAACGATCTATCCCTACCAATGCTCCCCACTTGGAGCACGGGTGAATCGCATACACTCCATCTGAGCAACGATTCAACTCCCGTCCATGCTCCCCATTTGAAGCACAGGTGAATCGCATACACTCCATCTGAGCAACGATTCAACTCCCGTCCATGCTCCCTATTTGGAGCACGGGTGAATCACATACGCCCCATCTGAGCCATGATTCCATCCCGTCCACATGCTATGCAGACACCATGCACAACAACACAAGCACTCATGGTGCACACGATCCTACTGATCCATTTCATCATATATCACATACACATCAAACACACAAGGTGCATATGATCCTACTGATCCATCGTCATACAACACACAAACCTAAGCACACAAGGTGCACACGATCCTACTGATCACAATTTATCATATATCAAATATGTCTCACCCATCACCACAGTCATACATCATAACATACACCAATTCAAATATCATAATCACACGGATATCACGGAATCATGTTCTGACACCATACATACACTCACCACAGCTCACTAATAAGTTCATCATCAAACATGACCAACAAGGGTCCAAAACCACAAAGGAAACAACACAAAACAGCAGCAAAACACAAACTGTTGTCGGGCTCGCTGGCACATTCGCCTGGAAAAACCCCACAGTGAACACTCGTTGACCATTCGCCTGGAGAATCCAAACAGAGGCTACTGGCAACATTTGCTGCCCAGTTCGTCCGGCGAAGGCTCTCCCCCTCATTCGCCATGCGAATACCTGCGACCTCAGAAAAATAAAGCCACAGCTCAAATTCGGCAACACGCTCCGAACTCAACTGATTCTACTCCAAGCCAAACCCCATCATACCAGACAATTGTTCCACAACCTAACTACAACATCTATCCTTGATTTAACCCGATTAATTGTTAGCTCTACACAATTACTCAGTTCCGACATAACTTCGAACTACCCGAAAACCCCCATTCCCTCAAATCATCATCAATCATGGGGTTAGGGAATTCCCCTTTCTACCACATATTTCATGCACCTACCGAAATTAACCGATCATTCCCCCCCCCCCCCCCTTTACCTCAAAATGCAGTTTTGATGATGAAAAATCCGCAATCCACAGCTTTGATCGTCTACTTCTTGCTCAAGCTTGCTCACTCTTGATCGCTCTTCTCTTCTACCATTCCTCTTGTTCCACTTCTATCGTGTTCTCCTCTTTCCCTTTTTTCCAAATGCCAAACATGCCCTTCATCCCAAATAATCCTCTTTTTAATTCCAAAACTAAAATTCTTATTTTCTTTTAATCCAAAATTGATTCCAATAATATTTTTAAATACAATAATAATAACAATAATATTAATAATAATAGTAACAACACTATTAATCATCATATTATCATTATTATTAATCATATTTTTCTAATATTATGGATCTTAATTCCTCAAACAAATTCCACGCAAGCATGCCGAAAATAAATACATCAAAAAACTCGAATAATTAAAATGGGTGTTAGATATAACTTCGATCAATTCCATGTATCATTAAATGAGATTCTAACTGAACTGCGTCAACCTGACGCTCATAACAGCAACCTAAGCAAGGACATGTGACCTACTAGGGTCTTTGGCGTGTTCAACAGCAAACTTAACGAATTTTGATACCCCATTCTTGTACTCTTTTGACAATCAATTAGAAGACATCCATTTTTTATCTATACTAATTAAGTAGGTTAAACTAAACTAAGAAAGCTAAACAAAAACAGCGAATACCTGTAGCACCTGTAGAGAAATCACCAACTTCTAGAACTACACAGTAGGATTCTTGGTAACGATCACAATCTTGCTCTACACATGTAACCCCTATAACAGACAAAATTAATAACATCATCAACATTAAATAATTTTTGGAAACAATCAAAATTAACAGACATAAATAATTCATTTACTTTCATCAACAACAATAATTCATTTACTTTAATTCAAGTTTCCATCAACAACAATAACATTAACATATATATGAAATTAATTCATTTGTTTCCATCAACAATATCAACAACAATATCATTAGAATCAACACTAACAACAACAACATTAACATTATTTTTTCCATCAACAACAACACTAACAATAATAACATTCCATTTTAACATCAACAACAACACTAACAACAACAACATTCCATTTTCACAACTAATACTTCACTAACCTATAATTCAATTTAATTGCATCCTAACAACTAACTTTAATAGAATTTCTAACTTTGTTAACTCTTTAACAAATTTTTACATGGCATGACATTGGACATATTCAGCATCGAATCAAAGCAAAAAACTATATGCTCGACTTGCATCAAAATAAAAGCGGCAAACACAGGATGTCCAAAGTTGTATCAAAATAGTGGAAACAATATCAAACCTAAACAAAATGTTAATCTTGTATCAAAACCGAAACAAACTACTCAACACTCGTATTAGTCAAAACCGAAACAAAATGTAACAATGTAGTGTGAATGAAAGTCGAAGTCTGATATAGAAATAAAATGTAATAATAAACTGAGATGAAATATGCAGAACAACTTTATAACTGCTATATAGAAATAAAATGTAATAAGAAACTGTGAAAATGTTAACAACCGTTTTTCACCATTCATGTGCATAGAAAGCTAATAGTATGAAACAAATACAACATTGCGAGATTGGTTCGAAGCAAACCTGTAGATTTCGTACAGAATGGACGGTTAGAAATGGAAGACGGCGACAGACGGAAATGGAAGACGGCGAGATTGGTTCGTCAAAACGGACAGACGGAGGCGGAAATGGAAGACGGCGACGGAAGAAATGGAAGACGGCGACGGACGGAAGCAATGGACGTAGGTATTCGCTGGGTATTTTTATGGGTTGCGAGCGTAAGAATACCAAAAACCACGAGTAATGTTTCTGTTTATGAATTTTCTGGGTTTTTTTAAATTTATGCCACTTATATCTACAACAGCGCTTTTTCATGGCCTTTAGCAGCGCTTTTATAAAAGCCTTGTCTTTTGTACCACCTATAGTAGCACTTTCCTAAAAGCGCTTTCTTAGAATGAACCCTTTAGCAGATCTTTCTTAAAGCGCTCTCGTAGGTGACCCTATAGCAGCGCTTTCTAGAAGCGTTTTTGTAGGGCCTACTTTTAGCAGCACTTTTTATAAAGCGCTTTCTATTGTTAACAATAACCACCACCTTTAGCAGCGCTTTTCAAAAAGCGTTGTCTAAAGTATACTATTTTTTTTCTTTTTTTTTTTCCTGACTCTTTAGCAGCATTTTTTCAAAAAGCGATGTCTTTTCATGCGCTGCCAAAAATCATTTCTGTAGTAGTGCTATCTTCCACCTGGAAAAAATAGAAATAATAATGAATACAATGATTAAATAAATAATTACGTTGAGAATATAAGAACCTTACATATGCTTGGACGTTTATTAGTGTTCCATGATGCAATTCTCCCATCCATAACAAAGACATTTTATGAGACTGTGAAGTGAGTGAGTGTAATAAAAAATATAGTAGAAGCTGATTTTATCTTAACAAAGTCTATAGTTGATGAATGAGTGAGTATGATAAAAACTTTAGTTGAAGATGAATTTATAGACTGTATATAATATGGTAAATAATTTGAGGTGAATTTACAATGGGATCATTTTGATTTAACAAGGCATGGATTGAACATTGCAGAGCTAGGGAAAGCATGCATACAAGCCTATACAATTCGCAGTTAGTCTTGCTGCATGCATGCAAGCTATGTTTTATTGTGTTTCTGCTCGCCACTTCATTGACCGAGCACACGCATGCTCTCCATTTCATTAGCTGAGCGCCCACGTGTTGTGTTTCTGCTTACCATTCCTTTGGCCAAGCACACACGTGTTCATTGGGTTTTGGTGCAGATCAATACATTTATATATATTTGTTTCTTCATTTATTGATTCCACATTCCATCATTAATTCATACTTTTTTTTTACATCTAAATGGCTCAAAGAAATTTAATAGTAACCATTCACTTTAATGGTACTATTTTCATAGATATTAATGTTGGATACTCATTTAGCAATAAAGATACCTACTCATTCAAAATTCATGGGAATTCTGATTTCTTTCATTTTAAAGATAGGATGAAAAAAAAGTTACAACGTTGTGTTGAGGAGATTATTTATCGCCATCCATTAATTAATGAAGATGATGATATCATATTTTACATAATGACCTCGGTTAGAAACGACAAAGACGTGAAATCAATGTTTCAGTGTCACAATATGTTTGCTCAATTACCCATAATTAAGATATATGTTCGATTACTTGAACATGCCGAAACATATCTGACTCAATCAACACAATCACATCAGTATGGAATGAGTCAAACTTCTAAATTTAAACTAACACAAAACAATGAATCTTTCATACCCAATGAAGAATTTGGAAAAGATAGTGAGGATGATATTGAAGAGGTCATAATGCAAGATATTTTTGGTAACAGTGATCATGATGGCAGTGAAGATCTAATCGACGTGCCTACCCAGGAAATTAGCGTCGAACCAATAAATTTGTACAACCCACCTGTTTATATGCAAAATATATGCTTGGGAGATACTAGACCAATCTTTGTGTTTGGATGTATCATACTAAACCATGTAGGTTATGAAATAGATACGGGGATGAAGTTTGAAAACAAGGAAGCTTGCATTGTTGTTCTGCAACATTGGCATATAACACACAGTGTTAACTATTCGGTAAAAAAACCTAACAATGTACGATACATAATTAAATGTAAAAATCTAGAATGCAATTTCAAATGCAGAGCAGAGCTTCCTTGTGAAAGAAGAACTCAAAATGGAAGATTCGTAAGCTCACTGGGCCTCATACATGCACTACCACGTCTATGTCACAAGACCATAGAAAGCTCAATTTAGAAATGATTAGCCACAACATCATGGAGTTTGTTAACGGACACACTTCTCTTAAAGTGAAGGTGATCATCGTCCATATTATTGAAAAATACACGTACATAGTATCGTATAAGAAAGCATGGATTGCAAAGTGTAAGGCCATAGAGTCACTGTACGAAAATTGGGAAAAATCTTACAACGACCTACCACAGTGGATATTGGTAATGAAAACCTACCTTCCAGGTACTATTATTGAGTTGCAAGCCTTGCCTGCAATTTTGAATTATTGATCCAAATAGCTGACAAGAAAATCTTCCATCGTGTCTTTTGGGCGTTTCAACCATGTATACGTGGTTTCGCCTATTGTAAGCCTATTGTGCAAGTTGACAGAACATGGTTGTATGACAAGTACAGAGGAACTTTGTTGATGGCTATGGCATAAGATGGGAACGATAATATTTTCCCAATAGCTTTCGCATTAGTCGAAGATGAGACAAAGGATGCTTGGAGCTTCTTTCTTAGGAACCTGAGAATACACGTGACATTGCAGGAGAATTTGTGTCTAATCTTAGATAGACATGAATCGATAAAGAGTGCATATAACAATCCTAAAAACGAATGGCAATATCCCCCTTCTTTACATGTATACTGCATTAGAGACATTGCATAAAACTTCATGCGTGAGATTAAAGACAAGGAACTACGCAAAAAACTTGTTAACATGGGTAATAACATACATTTCAGTTATCGCAAAGACTCTTTCAATTTTAATATTTTATTTATAACATTTCTATTACAAGTTATATATTGACGGAGGCTACATATAATTACTATCACGGCGAAATCCGAAGAACAAACATTGAGGTTTTACGTTGGATAGACAACATCCCTAGGGAGAAGTGGGCAAGAGCATATGACAGAAGGCAACGTTAGGGACATATGACAACTAACTTGGAAAAAGCAATGAACTCAGTACTTAAGGTAACCTGAAACCTTCCAGTCACTGCATTGGTCTAATCTACATACTATTAGTTGGGATCCCTCTTTAGTAAAAGAGGCCATTAATGCATAAAAATGTTGGCTTCTGGGCAGGTTTTCATGGATGGTTTCAATAAGGGAATGGCTGAAGAAGTGACTAAAGATAACACGCATAATGTCATGAAATTTGATCGCGAAATATTCTATTTCATGGTCCATGAAAAAATTAATCAGAATGATGATCGGTCTACAGGTACTTTCAGCATTAACCTAAGGAAGCGGTGGTGTGATTGTGGGAAATTTCAAGCATTTCACTTACCTTGCTCCCACGTCATCGCAACATGTTCTAGTATATGTCGGGATTACTCCATTCACATTTCAAACGTCTTCAAAATTCTTAACGTATTCAAGGTCTACAAGGAAAGCTTCCTTGGGCTACCCCATAAAGAGAACTGGCCACGATATGAAGGATTTACTCTTTGTCATGATGAATCTATGAAGAGGAAGAAGAAGAAGGGACGTCTAACCAGTACTTGGATTAGAACCGAAATGGACAACGTTGAAAAAGTAAATAGAAGGTATGGCATTTGTCGAGAAATAGGCCATATGAGTAGAAAATGTACAAATGTAGTCGGCCCATCTAATCAACCTGTCTAGATGATTTTGTTTGTTTTTTTAATTAATCATTTAGTCAAGGTTTTAGCTTTTATTCCATGTCTTTGTAATTCAACATTCAGTTAATATTCAAGACAACTTTCAACAACAACAGCAAAATAAAGAAACCATGCATAAAACAGCAAGACAATAAACAATAAAATGATTAAACACATCAACATGTCTAGGAGATTACAACCATCAAGATAATATTTGTTGGTCCATACATCATCAAAACAACATCATAGTCATTTTTAACAGCTTTCCAAGATTATGTTTCTCCATTTTAACAAGCCTGTAAATTCTTCTAATCTTTTCACCGTCATCAATTTCACCATCTAACCAACTCACCAAACTTCTCTGAAAACGCTCGAATGTCACTATGTTCTATAGTCGGATCTTCATCAGAGGTTTTAATGCCGAAAAAAACAGTTGAGCATCTCTTTTGATAAGAAGAGCATTTTGATTGGTAAAATACTCTATTCTTGAAGAAATATTCAGAGTTAAATGATGAAATGAGTGTAAATGATGTGAGACTTAGAGTGCCACACAAAGCTATTTATAGAAAATAGAAAAATAATAAAATATTATACTGCTCGGCCAATGGATATCTGAGTTCGGCCAAGGGATGGTCGAGCATCTTCATGCAATAAGGAATATAGTTAATATTAAAGACTTCCGATTACAAAGTACGATCACAACAAGTTTAATTTAAAAAGCTTCATAACAAACTAATCAACAACAACAACCAACACAAGTGGATCTTCGACTCATATGTTAACTTTGCCATTATGTGCTAAAAACATCACTGGACATCTTCATCATTTTCTATACGATCCAAGTAATACATGTATGTACCCTCGGGGCTTGCATCTGTCAACCTTATGTATGGATAATGATACTCTACTTTTCTCACCTTCATACGACTACCACCCAACTATCAAAAACCTGTGTTGATGGTTGCAATCAGTGTTATGAAATTCCATTGCGAATCTAGGCAAACACAATTTTTTTTGTATTGTTTATAGAACACAAGACCCCAAACAGACATTTTTAAAATTGAAACCTGCTATGTGAAATGAATTATGTTTCTACACATCAAGCTACTTAAAGAAAAATATTACATGCAAGTTCGGTCATTCATCGGTCGATGATCTCTTAACAGCAACTTCACTCGGCCATTGAATGCCGTAAGTGATTAAAATAATTAGTACAATCTATTTAATAAATTAGTAAATTATTTTAACAATTATTTTAAAAATTATTTAAAAAATAAAAATTTATAGTTAAAAAATTATTTAAAAAATTATATAATATAATAAATATAATAAATATTATTTATAATTATATTTATTATTAAAAATATTTAAAATATTAAATAAACAAAATTATGATAAAAATATTAAAATATTCACACATTCGACTATTCATTGACCAAGCACACATATGAGAAATTTCCGTACATCTGCACTCCATTGAAATGGCGGAACACACACTAATTAAGGGGAAGATTGAGAAATTAATTTTAAAATCGGGGCAGAAAGTAAAAAAAGTCAAGCATCTCCGTGAAATATTATTCTGACATATCTGCATCATTTCCTTTTATATCCAACTCTAGACTCTTTAACCGTACTCCAATATTCTGACTATGTCACATGTACAACTCCCTAAGAATTCATTTAATTGCCTTAAAGTTTTCTTTTAATACATTATCCACCACATCCCTTTACATAAATAATGACAGAATTTGTCACAAATAAACTAACAATGACAACAAACTCACCTTAACAATTAAGCGCTTCAGCACTCACATAAAAACAATTATGAGACACCCTTCTCTCCCATGCTCGTTAGAACATTTTCAATAGAGGTTGTTTAATATACACCAGGATTTTTAAATTTTGGAGCTTAATATTTTTAAATTGGAGTAAATATATGTGATGTTTTGTTACCTTAATATTTATGTAAGTTGCTTCATGAAATAATATAAAAAATATTATTTATTATTAAATAATATTAATTTTGATAATTGGTGGAGTCAAATATAAATTGATTGAGTATTCATTATTAAAATTACCATTTGAGTAAAATTGATTTAGGTTGCCTAAACGTTGTTTAAATGTATTGTGATAATTTTTCTCCCACAAATAATAAAGCAATCAACATTAGTTCTAGTTTAAAAATGATTTAACACCAATGTAATTAAAAAAAAAAAATTTTTATGTTAAAAATATTTTTTTAAATATTAAAAAAATTAAAAAATATTTTTATAAATTAAAAGATTAATTTTGACATCCAATAATATAAATATATATTATTCAAGATTAAAACATAATCGAAATCACATTTTTAATATATATATATATATATATATATATATATATATATATATATATATATTTAAAATTTTGTTTAACTAATTATTTTTAAAATATTATTTTAAATATTTTATTCTTTTATTATATTTTCTTAAATATCAAAATTTCAAAAAAAAATAAAGTAAATTGTGTGTGTGTGTGTGTGTGTGTGTGTGTGTGTGTGTGTGTGTGTGTGTGTGTGTGTGTGTGTGTGTGTGTGTGTGTGTGTGTGTGTGTGTGTGTGTGTGTGTGTGTGTGTGTGTGTGTGTGTGTGTGTGTGTGTGTGTGTGTGTGTGTGTGTGTGTGTGTGTGTGTGTGTGTGTGTGTGTGTGTGTGTGTGTGTGTGTGTGTGTGTGTGTGTGTGTGTGTGTGTGTGTGTGTGTGTGTGTGTGTGTGTGTGTGTGTGTGTGTGTGTGTGTGTGTGTGTGTGTGTGTGTGTGTGTGTGTGTGTGTGTGTGTGTGTGTGTGTGTGTGTGTGTGTGTGTGTGTGTGTGTGTGTGTGTGTGTGTGTGTGTGTGTGTGTGTGTGTGTGTGTGTGTGTGTGTGTGTGTGTGTGTGTGTGTGTGTGTGTGTGTGTGTGTGTGTGTGTGTGTGTGTGTGTGTGTGTGTGTGTGTGTGTGTGTGTGTGTGTGTGTGTGTGTGTGTGTGTGTGTGTGTGTGTGTGTGTGTGTGTGTGTGTGTGTGTGTGCGCGTGCGCGTGCGTGCGTGCGTGCGTGTGTGTGTTTTATAATATTTTTTATGTAAACCTATATAAAATAATTTAAATTTAATTTTTTTTTTAAATTTTGATATTTAATGAAATATAATAAAATAATAAAATACTTAATTATTTAAACAAATTAATATTTGATTTTTTTTTTATAAAAAACAAAATTTTTAAAACTTTAAAACAAAAATATATAACACTACAAATAAACGGATCCATATTTAAATAATTAGAATCTATTTAATCTATTCACAAAGAATCTTCATTCTTTTATATACAAACTTTTACCTCTATGTGAGATCTTTCAAAATTTTATAGTTTTTTTTTTTATATATAATAAAAATCTATTTAAACTATAAGTTGCATTAGTTAAATTTTCAAGAAAACAACCTTAAATAAATGAACAAAATGCAAATGTCAGCCATTTATTTCTCTTGATATCTGTGTGGTATAATTTGAAGATATCCCGAGGGTGGGGCGAAAGACATGTACTTAGTCCATCATCCTTACTACGTAGTCTTTTTTTTTTGTTTAAATGTCCATCTTTTGGATAATGCACTCTTTTTTCAAATCCATCGTCCGAGACCTTGGTGTCTCAGTCCATAGAGAACAACCATGCATAAAATGTGTATTTGGTCTACAAACGTTGCTTGAGGGTCGAGGGATTCAACCACACTCCATAGATTTTAGGGAATCAACTATCAACTTCCATGGTGGTTGCGATATCCTATGGAGACGGTAGTCTAGGCCCAAGGGATTATAAATACCTCAATATTAGGATACACAAGACCAACTAACAACACAAAGAAAATACATATATAGAGTAGTTTCTCACCTCACGTGAGCTAGCTCTCAATACCCTAATAACCTTAAAGTCTTTAGCAGCACTTATCTACTAGGAATTGTTGCATTTGTATTTTTAGTGAGTACAATTGGCGTCCAATGTGGGCTCCGATAAAATTAACCTAGGCACGCACACCTTTTACTCATTGTTCCTTTTACCATCTTTTCATGAGAATGTTCGAGCAAAGTTCCAAGAAGAGCGCTAACACCATCGCATGCGGTGTCGTTAGGGGGAGGGGGCAAAATAAAATAAATGACACATGTAAAAGCTCATAAAGTTTCTGGTAGGGACTAGGAGCTCATGATCATTTTTTTTAGAGAAGACGCGATCGACGTACTCCTCTACAATAATGATCCCATGGTCATCACGATTTAGCATGCTGAAATTCAGTTTATGAGGGAATAAATGTTAGAAATGATGTTTGAACAACTGGTCTAACGTGATATATTAGTATGAAAGTAGTGTATAATATCTTAACTTATACAAGATGATGAAGTAGAAAAGGAATAAAGAGATCACAAGAAATTGGTAACCTAGTTTGGTGAAACCACACCTACGTCTAGGGCGTACTCTACCTAAGAAAGGAAATTCACTACTTCGAGTTAGAATAATTAGTATTATAAAAACCTTCAACCCCTATGAAGTTTTATGTCTCTCCCTAATCCTAGTGACTTTCTATTTAGGTCTCCCCGTAAATATGAGAATCCACTCACTTTCTTCAACCACTAATCCCTAACGATCAACCATAATAACAAGTCTATTGATTATTGAATTTACAATTCAACTAAGACAAACCAACAACTATGTCAAGTTACCAATAGATTCAACACTAATCCTTATTGTGGCATTAGCGTGAAATACAAGAAACATTTTGTACTCAAGCTCATAGAGTTAGTGTCTTGGAACAAGGCTATACAACTCAACTAAAAAACCAAACTTTATGCCTTAAGATATGAAAGGAGGCGCTAGAGTGTGAAAAAAGATAGCACAAACAAATACTCAAAGAATAAACCCTAACACTATGTATCTTCAAAACATGCACACCTCTAAAGTGAGGTTTAAGTCTCCTTAAATAAAAATTCAATTATGGGCGTTT